GGCAGATGGACGAAGTACACTGCTGAGGGGAGCAGCGGGCGGGTCAGGAGAGGTCTGCCAAGCCATGTGGTCACCTCTGGGACAGGTGGGGATCGAACTCTCCGGGGCAGGCGGGGATCGAACTCATGCGGAGGTGGCTTTAGTTTCTCAGTGCAGTGCTTTAACCCGCTGCGCCAACAGGGAGGGCCCCGCTGCTTTTTTTTTTTTAAAGATGAATATGACTCTTGTGTTAAGCTCACTAGCATGTCAATTCTAATCAACAAATATTTGAGACTATTATGCTTAATACACTCAGGTGTTGTAGTAACAGAGCAGTTTGGAAAAAGAGAAATAGTTTAGTTCTGTGTGAATTTCTAGATGTCATGAAAAGGGGGACTTAATCTTGACCAGGGGAGAAAATAATAAGAATAATGAACAGCCATATACCAGAGACATTCTGTGGGGGTGGAGTGGGGAATGGGATCAAAAACGGGGGGTGGGTGGGGAGGGAAGTGCACGGGACTATGGTGATGGCATACAGGTGACTTGGTGATGGGAAACCTGCGGGGATTACAATTGAGATGGAAAAAAAGTGTACAAAATTATGTAAAAATAAACTGTTAAAAAAATTATGTCAATGTTTTGTTCAAGTTAAAATCAATGTTGAGGCCTAGTAAAAAGAAGGCTCAGGGAACCAAGCTACAGTTTGGTCAAGGAGTGACTCTTAATGCTTAGTTCCCTCAGGAGATAGCTTTTTAACCAACACTACTTTGAATGAATGCTTGATTTATTAGCATATTATTACACTTCATATATATGATAATGGTTCCCCCCATAATTTCTTTTTGTTTTTAAAGATTTATTTTTATTTATTTACAAATACAAGAATGGGGATGTAGACTGGAAGCGCAGAGGTCAAGAGTCTTCACTCTCTTTTCAGGCAGATTGACTGAAATACACTATTGAGGGGGAGCAGTGGGGAGACAGAATAAGGGGGCTGCACCATGTGGGTAGGCCAGGGATGGAACTCTTGCTTCTGTGACTGCTTATTGCTTGATAGTGCTGACTCAGCCCCTTGAGCCACCAGGGAGGTCTTCCCCCATGATTTTTTTCTTTCTTTCTTGGCTATAGCTTGATAGTGCCATGTTTTTAATTCCCATGTCTCCACATCTTATTTTATATGCATACAGGTGCACATAGGTATATAGAAGTATATGGGATTTTAGCAATGTGGTGATGTTATAAATATT